CCCAGGCCTCCTCAGCCCTTTGGATCCCCCGTCCTCCCGAAGACCAAGCTGCTCAGCGACAGAAATGTCACTGCCCGTGACATTCAGCCGAGTAGCGAGAACCACTGCCAGTTTCATAGAATCATAGAATCATTGAGGTTGGAAAAGACCTGTTGTTGAAGAATACGGGTCTCGGACAAGGTTAATGGAATTAAAGAGTTGAAGTACTATGAATAGATGAGCCCTAAGCCATGTTTGACAGACGTGGGGGGCGGGGGGAGAGCGAAAAGAAAGCGAATTTGAAGGTTAAATTGATGGTAACTCTACCTTGAAGTAAGCTAACTAATTTCTCAGGGGGACTCGCAGGTAGCTCGGATACCTGCAGGGTTTGTGGAACAGGCTTCCTTAGTAGTCCCAGTGTCCATGGAAACGCCGCTTTCTGAAACAAACCGGGAGAGAGAGGAAACTAAAAATGCCGCTTTGGCCAGGTCAGCTCGGGAGGGAGCTGAAGGCATCCATGAAGGAAGTTCAGAGAAAAAAAATTAAATACCTGAATTGGATTCCGAAGTGGAGCAAGGCTGTGGCACTGAAGGCATTACAGCACCTCCGGGTGTGAGTACAACAACCCGAGTGCTGTAGCTTGTGCGAGTTTGCATTGCAGGTAGCCTGTGAAAGCGTCTTCAACGTTCCCAGAATTGAAACCGCATTGTGCATCAATAAAACTCGCTCTAGGACAGCTATCAGTTATATCCGCAGATAAGGTGCATTTACAAGCGATGGCTTTAGTTACAGACTATATTGACTGGTAGCGTTGTTAGAAAACAGACTAGTTCAGTCACCATGTTGTCTTAATTTCTAAAAAATGGACTTTAGGTGAGATAGGTCAGATTACTGGAGTGGGGAGATTAATGACAAGTTTCGATAGATCTGACAAGGTTACGAAGGTCATCCATTGACTTCCACGTGTTGTAGTTTTTCTTCTATTTGCATGGCTTTTCTACACGTAACAACCACCACTGAAAAAATGACGGTCGAGGCAGGCCAAACAGCTGACAAAACAGCTTTTGGACCCTTTCAAGAAACAGAATGAGCTTTAAGCAGATTCCCTGTTTAAATCCAACATCTTTGGCATAGCCAAATTTACATATAGTTAGAAACTGCAGCATTGATACCAGAGGAGAGATAAGCCAGTGTGAACTTTGGCCTAGCTTAGTGTTTCCCTTACATCCCCAATGGACTCCAAAGTGCACAGCTCCCTGACTCCCTGCTGCTCCTCCACAGCTTGTTAAAATAAAGGTAGACAGTGGTAAGCACTGCGGCCCACTCAGTGCCAGGAAAGATACCTGAACACCGCGTGCACCTTCGGTCTTGGGCTTCGTGCTCAATTATCTTCTGTGCCCTGTTCAAGATAGAAGGAAATCTGTCATTTTCTTTTTTTAAGGGGCAAAAGAAGAAAGACCGACCCCCTTGTTAGAGATAAATAGTTATTCCTCCTTCTCAGTCTAGTCGTTGTTTGGATTCTTCAGGTCAGTCGCATCAGATTAACTTCTTCAGGACAGAGACAATGTATTTTTTGCTGCTACCGTGTGCGATTGGTACACAGAGAGCAACCTTCAGCTTACCACCTTGGCATCTTGTCTGTCAAGGAAAAGACGTTTCATAGGTTTGAATCTTCTTAAGCAAGCGTGCTTTAGAAGGCTAGTGGTCTTGTTGTTGAAGAATACGGGTCTCGGACAAGGTTAATGGAATTAAAGAGTTGAAGTACTATGAATAGATGAGCCCTAAGCCATGTTTGACAGACGTGGGGGGCGGGGGGAGAGCGAAAAGAAAGCGAATTTGAAGGTTAAATTGATGGTAACTCTACCTTGAAGTAAGCTAACTAATTTCTCAGGGGGACTCGCAGGTAGCTCGGATACCTGCAGGGTTTGTGGAACAGGCTTCCTTAGTAGTCCCAGTGTCCATGGAAACGCCGCTTTCTGAAACAAACCGGGAGAGAGAGGAAACTAAAAATGCCGCTTTGGCCAGGTCAGCTCGGGAGGGAGCTGAAGGCATCCATGAAGGAAGTTCAGAGAAAAAAAATTAAATACCTGAATTGGATTCCGAAGTGGAGCAAGGCTGTGGCACTGAAGGCATTACAGCACCTCCGGGTGTGAGTACAACAACCCGAGTGCTGTAGCTTGTGCGAGTTTGCATTGCAGGTAGCCTGTGAAAGCGTCTTCAACGTTCCCAGAATTGAAACCGCATTGTGCATCAATAAAACTCGCTCTAGGACAGCTATCAGTTATATCCGCAGATAAGGTGCATTTACAAGCGATGGCTTTAGTTACAGACTATATTGACTGGTAGCGTTGTTAGAAAACAGACTAGTTCAGTCACCATGTTGTCTTAATTTCTAAAAAATGGACTTTAGGTGAGATAGGTCAGATTACTGGAGTGGGGAGATTAATGACAAGTTTCGATAGATCTGACAAGGTTACGAAGGTCATCCATTGACTTCCACGTGTTGTAGTTTTTCTTCTATTTGCATGGCTTTTCTACACGTAACAACCACCACTGAAAAAATGACGGTCGAGGCAGGCCAAACAGCTGACAAAACAGCTTTTGGACCCTTTCAAGAAACAGAATGAGCTTTAAGCAGATTCCCTGTTTAAATCCAACATCTTTGGCATAGCCAAATTTACATATAGTTAGAAACTGCAGCATTGATACCAGAGGAGAGATAAGCCAGTGTGAACTTTGGCCTAGCTTAGTGTTTCCCTTACATCCCCAATGGACTCCAAAGTGCACAGCTCCCTGACTCCCTGCTGCTCCTCCACAGCTTGTTAAAATAAAGGTAGACAGTGGTAAGCACTGCGGCCCACTCAGTGCCAGGAAAGATACCTGAACACCGCGTGCACCTTCGGTCTTGGGCTTCGTGCTCAATTATCTTCTGTGCCCTGTTCAAGATAGAAGGAAATCTGTCATTTTCTTTTTTTAAGGGGCAAAAGAAGAAAGACCGACCCCCTTGTTAGAGATAAATAGTTATTCCTCCTTCTCAGTCTAGTCGTTGTTTGGATTCTTCAGGTCAGTCGCATCAGATTAACTTCTTCAGGACAGAGACAATGTATTTTTTGCTGCTACCGTGTGCGATTGGTACACAGAGAGCAACCTTCAGCTTACCACCTTGGCATCTTGTCTGTCAAGGAAAAGAAGTTTCATAGGTTTGAATCTTCTTAAGCAAGCGTGCTTTAGAAGGCTAGTGGTCTTGTTGTTGAAGAATACGGGTCTCGGACAAGGTTAATGGAATTAAAGAGTTGAAGTACTATGAATAGATGAGCCCTAAGCCATGTTTGACAGACGTGGGGGGCGGGGGGAGAGCAAAAAGAAAGCGAATTTGAAGGTTAAATTGATGGTAACTCTACCTTGAAGTAAGCTAACTAATTTCTCAGCGGGACTCGCAGGTAGCTCGGCTACCTGCAGGGTTTGTGGAACAGGCTTCCTTAGTAGTCCCAGTGTCCATGGAAACGCCGCTTTCTGAAACAAACCGGGAGAGAGAGGAAACTAAAAATGCCGCTTTGGCCAGGTCAGCTTGTGAGGGAGCTGAAGGCATCCATGAAGGAAGTTCAGAGAAAAAAAATTAAATACCTGAATTGGATTCCGAAGTGGAGCAAGGCTGTGGCACTGAAGGCATTACAGCACCTCCGGGTGTGAGTACAACAACCCGAGTGCTGTAGCTTGTGCGAGTTTGCATTGCAGGTAGCCTGTGAAAGCGTCTTCAACGTTCCCAGAATTGAAACCGCATTGTGCATCAATAAAACTCGCTCTAGGACAGCTATCAGTTATATCCGCAGATAAGGTGCATTTACAAGCGATGGCTTTAGTTACAGACTATATTGACTGGTAGCGTTGTTAGAAAACAGACTAGTTCAGTCACCATGTTGTCTTAATTTCTAAAAAATGGACTTCAGCTGAGATAGGTCAGATTACTGGAGTGGGGAGATTAATGACAAGTTTCGATAGATCTGACAAGGTTACGAAGGTCATCCATTGACTTCCACGTGTTGTAGTTTTTCTTCTATTTGCATGGCTTTTCTACACGTAACAACCACCACTGAAAAAATGACGGTCGAGGCAGGCCAAACAGCTGACAAAACAGCTTTTGGACCCTTTCAAGAAACAGAATGAGCTTTAAGCAGATTCCCTGTTTAAATCCAACATCTTTGGCATAGCCAAATTTACATATAGTTAGAAACTGCAGCATTGATACCAGAGGAGAGATAAGCCAGTGTGAACTTTGGCCTAGCTTAGTGTTTCCCTTACATCCCCAATGGACTCCAAAGTGCACAGCTCCCTGACTCCCTGCTGCTCCTCCACAGCTTGTTAAAATAAAGGTAGACAGTGGTAAGCACTGCGGCCCACTCAGTGCCAGGAAAGATACCTGAACACCGCGTGCACCTTCGGTCTTGGGCTTCGTGCTCAATTATCTTCTGTGCCCTGTTCAAGATAGAAGGAAATCTGTCATTTTCTTTTTTTAAGGGGCAAAAGAAGAAAGACCGACCCCCTTGTTAGAGATAAATAGTTATTCCTCCTTCTCAGTCTAGTCGTTGTTTGGATTCTTCAGGTCAGTCGCATCAGATTAACTTCTTCAGGACAGAGACAATGTATTTTTTGCTGCTACCGTGTGCAATAGGTAATGAGCTTACAACTTTAATGCCACTTAATGCGCAGGTGCGCTCTTGGTACACAGAGAGCAACCTTCAGCTTACCACCTTGGCATCTTGTCTGTCAAGGAAAAGACGTTTCATAGGTTTGTCTGTCAAGGAAAAGAAGTTTCATAGGTTTGAATCTTCTTAAGCAAGCGTGCTTTAGAAGGCTAGTGGTCTTGTTGTTGAAGAATACGGGTCTCGGACAAGGTTAATGGAATTAAAGAGTTGAAGTACTATGAATAGATGAGCCCTAAGCCATGTTTGACAGACGTGGGGGGTGGGGGGAGCAAAAAGAAAGCTAATTTGAAAGTTAAATTGATGGTAACTACCTTGAAGCTAACTTTTTTTTTTTTTTTTTTTTATTTAAGTGGGTAACACTTTGGCCTTCAACTATACCTTATAGCCATTTGGGAATATTTGGTAGCTTCCTTAATTATTTAGTGGAAAACCACCACAAATGGGTATGCTATGGGTAAGTTATATTTATATAATCATTTTGCATCTCTCCTGTTGCCTCTCTCCGACTCATCTGCTTAGTCTGTGTTAACAAGCTTTCCTGTAACCCAGTTGTTAATTACCTTTAAAGAGCTCTCCTTTCAAGCTCATTACAACTAAGGGTGTGGGGTAACAAGTATGTAAAAGACCAGGCTAAGACCAGTATGAAAGTTTAAAAATGCAACTTAGAATTTGGCATCTGTGTTGTTATGGTGAGAAAGGGGAAAAAAAAAAAGATACTACTTTTGGAGACAGTTATTAGAGCGTATGTAAACTTATCTGTAACACCTCCTAAAAGTGGTTCTTTTTGTCAAATTGTTACTCAAGTAGTCTATAGGAGTCTTCTTTTTCCAGCTTCAATTAAAGAACATTTTCTACCCTGCTACTAACTTATCCTGATCCTGTCCACGTGAGAAATAACCTGCTGACGAAACTGCATAGTGCTAAGTTTTGCTGGGTTACAAAACTTAGGTTTTGGTTTTTTAATAAACAGGAGAGCTGGAAAACACTTCCCTGTAACCAGGCCTCTCACTTGCCGACTTCCTGTAAAGACAGGAAGACGGCAAGACTTTCTTGTTTATTTTACCATGCATCACGTAGAGGATAAGCCTCCATCTTTGCTCAGAGCATCTTTGCTTTAGCAAGGTATTGAATTGATCCTAACTGAATATCCCGTGTAACTTTTTTTTTAAAAAAAGCTTCTATATGAAAATTTGTAGACCAAGTTTGACTAATCAAGTCATATTATTATATATTCTGAATCTATACACACAGTTGTTTTCATAGAACTAAATCTATAAAAACTTCAGTAACTCATTAGGACGACTAAAAAAAAATACTTGTGCAAGTAAAAGGACAGATTTTGCACGCTTAACTAAGATTAATTTGTACTGCTTTCACTAAGCATTCGGCTTTTTGGCTTTATCTAAGTGCTGAAAGTTTTGGAAACATGCAGTGGATGCTTGAAATGGCAGGTCCAGGCATATTGCATGAGTTACAGTTCTCTAACTTTCTCAGTGGACTTCAGTTTCTTTCAAGACTATACGTGTTTGTTAGTTTGTTTTCCTAAGATAAGAAACACGCCTCACTTTTTAGGTTAAAGTGAGATGTCACTTCTCTGCTTCCAGTTTTACATTCTCTGCACAATGCGTCTCGGATACAACAGTCTTCTCCCTAATTTTCAACAAAATAAAACATGTTTTCTTTTTATTAGGTTCTGGATATCCTGGTTGATTCACATAGTAGAAGCCTTCTACGGTGTTAAGTTATGCCAGTAAGTTGTTCCCTCCCCTCACCCCAACGCAGATTTCTCTGAAAAGGATTTCTGATACAAGTGCCATAAGCTACAGACTGATTTTGGTGGTCCTCGGCAGCAATAGTAGTTCAGAGGATACTGATAAAGTTCTGGCTGCAGTGACAGTTTGCTGTCCTCCACAAGAGGTTACTGCAAATTGTGCTAGTGGTTACTGTTGTACAGGGTGGCAAAAGCAAGGGGTGGCAACTTGCAGAACTGGCAGCAGCAAGGTTTGCCAGAGCTTGTCTGTCTGCCTCCGAACTCGCTGTTCCCTGGGTAACATTGCGCTTTAGGAAGCGGAAGGAACAATAGGTGGTGTAGAAATAGTCTGATAACTCCAGGTGTTATAACTTCATGAGATCTTACCTCATCAGAATTTTGAGACTGCTCATTACCTGTTTAAATGATTGCATCTATATTGTGAGAATACAATTGGACACTTCCCTTTGGCACTATTTAAGATCTACTTGTATCTGCGGGTTTGTGGGATAAAATACTTTGACTGATCAGACTATAAAAGTGAGGCCAACTAGGTCTTATGTTAGGATAACAAATTATTTGGAAAGGTATGCTGTCCAAACACATCGTCCTTCTGTTCATTTGAATTTTGTTTGTAATAATTCAGAAGAATGTAGGTATTGGTTTTCATGCTCTACAGAGTAGGTGGACGGTCTGTTTGCCATTGTAAAAATGGTAGTTTTCCACTTCATTTAGTTCAGTTCACAGCTGTCCGTCACAGGCTTCTAGGGTAACATCTTTTGGAGGCAAAGGGATTTTGTTCCATGGAAAGCTATTTAAGGTGGTTCTCGAGATAATAGAATATGGATGAACATTTTCTGCCTTCAGAATGGGAGTTAGTAATAAAATTTTTACCAGGCTCCAGTTTTAAATTATGTAGCTTTAAAGTTAAAATTTTAACTCTGGTTCTACAGATAAAAATATATATATAGTCTATACACCTATCTAAGTACGAGGGAACTTGATTACCGGTGAATGTACCAAATGGGTGTACTGTAATCAAGTCAAGTAGTGAAGTTGTACAGAGCAGTGTTAAAGCCCATAAGAAAGAGAGCACAGATTGCCTGCCCATCATCATCTCTTCAGGCATACTTCTGTAGATTACCAAGCAGTTGTACTTCACTGTGAGCACCAAACACCATAGGCTTTTTACTGATGTAAAAGTGATGTCTACTTATGAACGTCACAAAGGAGGCGTGAGGAAAAGAACTAGGGAGGAAGCGGATACAAATTTGTTAATCAGTAGTAGCACCGTCATTGGCTGTTGGCCTGTATTTCTGCATATGGTCTATTCAAGTAAGCTTGCTTTATTCAAGCGGGTAAGTTCCTCAAGCCCTAGTTTTCCAGCTTCTGCACTCATTTGGAAACGCTGCAGCTGGGATTATTAAAAAAAAAAAAAGTTTTCACAGCTGGTAAGACAATTTAAGAACGAGCATTAAGAAATGTTGTGTTAATCAACACTTGCTACACAATCATTTTGTACGTGTAGAGGCTGTGGAACAATTAACAGCTGAACTGTTCTAGCAAAGGTCAGTAGAGGGAGCTCCCTTGTAAACTAATGAGTTGGAGCACAGTTATGCTTCACATAATTGTTTACTGGAAATGTGAAATCTGTTGGTTTTGCGATCATGTTTATACTCGTTCTTTTCTCTGAAAATTCAGTAGTATTTCTCAACAACAATGGAGTGGAGGAAAAAGTGACGTTTTCTGTAATATACAGAAAAATTCACATATGCTACGTTAAAACTAACTGATACAGGAAGGTCTCTGCTTCATAAGTCAAGTCAGGTGTCTTCAGTCCCCTGTACCTGTATTTTCTAGCCACAAATTGAGGTAACAGTGCTTCTCCATCCTGCATCGCACAGTAATTGTCAGGCCTCGTTGCCCTGCTAGCGTACAGTCTGCCTTCCATGACTGTAGTCAACAAGAAGTTACATAGAGACTTGTGTATCAAGATTAGTATTAAGCTACTGTCTTGGATCTTTGTACATAAACTTCTAGGATAAGTCATTTCAAATAGCATAGACTGAGATTGCAATTTATATATTATTGAGGAAGTTGTATGCATGAGATCTCCGAAAGAACCTTTGTTCCGTAGATAGCTTAAAATCCACTAAAATCACAAGAACTGGTATGTTTAGTTAGTACAGGAAATAAGTCTCAATAGGTTGAAATTAATGATGCTAAGTTCAAATGTTCTAATCAAGTCTGATGTATCAAGGATGGGTAGAAATACCTAACCTTAGTTTGTAAGTATCACAGTACAGTCAAGTTTTTTTGACACATTTCATGCTTTTGTTAATGTTGCAGATCTAAAGGAATCACTGACCCGGCAATTCAGTTTCAATGGTTCATTCAGACACTTTTATTTGGGTACGCCTCCTTTGGTCTTCTGGTGTCTTACAAACCTTCAGCCAAGAAGCACTACTAGAAGACAGTGAAAGAAGTCACTTCTCCCATTCGTCATCCTCATTTTTCAGAAAATATCCCCACTTATGTGTCTAGGTGCTGTAATTAGCTAAATTACATTCCTGCTACATGATGCAGTGCCCTTCTACCCAAGTAACTCTCCTCTTACTAAACAAGACAATTAGAATTCACAGGGCCCTGTGGATAGTCCAGTAGTAATTCAGCCCTTCAGTCTTGGCACTGCCAAAGTTTAATGCCACTTGTTATGCAAGAAGCCAAAAGTTGCTCCTCTGCAGTTTTTCACATAAATTCTATACTCCGATTGTCATTGAAAAGTCCCCGACAGCTGGTAGTAGTGGCTGATAGTTCTCATGTGGAGGAATTTTCTTCTACAACAGGGAGAGTGATTTACAGCCACAAGGCAACTTGCACCTGTTTTGTGATAGGATTTAAGTTTACCTATATTTTCTCTACAGGACATTTTACTGGCTTTGTTGTTGTTGTTGTTGGAGCCTGGTCTTTGTACTTCGTTTTGTCAACTTACTTTCTTCCGCAAAGGCCAGGCCGCTCTATTGCTGCAGGCACGTTAAAAAGACCAAGTCTCAGTTCAGGTTGAGGTGCAGTGATGAGCTTGGATACGTGAAGCACTTCAACTTGGTTTAATACGTGTGCCTTAAGTTTCATGCAGCACAACCTCATCTTTTGCATGAAGATTTTAATCTTTGAGTTAGTATAGCATAAAGTAGTAATCCTGTAGCTGTGAGGGCAGCTTTTTCGAAAAGTAATTTATTATCCAAGAAAAAAGAAAGGAAAAAATCAATTAGCATTCCAAAACCTAGCTGAAATTTTTATATTTGTGAATGAAATTAGATGTAGTGAGTAAATATACACCACTGTTTCCCAGATGTTGGTGTCCTGAAATCTATGGTTGAGAGACCGTCTTAAGCACCCCTCAGTACTTCCTGTATGTGTAGTGAGCCTTTTATCATACCGTCTTTTACTGTTGAATATTTGAACAAGAATTTAGCCTATCTTGTTTTAGCACTTTTAAAAGTAATAACTATTTAAAATAGTAACTGTGGTGTGGGGAGAAGTTTTGCCATGCCACCTGTGGTGCTGCTGTTCTGGAAGAAAGGACAAGAAAAGGTGGTTCTTCCTCTAACGAAGAGCTCCACGAGGCAGTAGCAAATAAACTTATGCCCTGTGCAGTACCTACAGACCGTAACACTTCTGATGGAGAAGTCTTACTGAAGCACAGGTACATAAAGTTTTTGCTTTTCAGTGGGTACTAAAAGCATGGAGAACTGAAGGGTTTGAAATGGTTTGTTTTGTTTGGTTGTTTTCGTTTTTTTTTAAATGGTGAACTGATAACATTTTGTAGAGAAGTAGAAACTCAGGTTTAGCGGCTAGAAATCCAACAGGAACGTCAAAAGCCTGAGCCATGTTTTACTATGTAACCTTTTATCTTAGTCTGTGGCCCTGGAATAAAGATTTAAAAAAAAAAAAAAAAGTGAAGAAGTTGCTTTTCTTTTTAATTTATCCTGGAAATAAATGTCTATACAAAATATATAGGCATCATCATCTTTACACCAATATCAGTATTCACACTTGGAACATACAGGATCAGCTGGCTGTATGCTTTCCAGAGCAAGCCCCTGGGAGTCGAGGTATTTCTAACAGGGCAAGGTATTGATGCGACTTGTCTCTACAAAAAAAAAAAAACCCCAACCCCAAACAATTCTCCATGGCACTGAAACATGCATAGGTATAATACTTTGTGTTTCAAGATGAATTCTAATTGAATGCTTAATGAGAATTAACTTAAGAATGTGAAGGGATAAAAGGAATAACTTTGGTTCAACATTTTTGTGATAATGTTCCCGTGCAGAGGAAAAGGTGTAACAATAACGCCAAGGCTAGTTAAAGACTTGGGAAAGGTGGTAAAAGACTTTTTTCTTCTTAATAGGCATTTTTGTCTGTTCTTTTTTGCCACCATTCACTTTCCATCATTGCAGCTGTAAATAAGGTCAGAACTACTACGCTAGCTTCCCCTCCCACCGCCAGTCTGCACTCCAAGCTCTTGTGATGCTCACCATCGCAGCTTTCACAGCCCTTCCGTGAGGGCTCGGGGATGGCTATAGGTAAATCGCAGCTTTGAGAAGTTAACAGCTTGCTCTTAGACTCAACTTAATTAGAAGGGCTTCTTTTCAGAGAGGCCGTGGTAAAAGCTTCCTCGGTGCAGCCCAAGGAAGCTATAAAAGAAAAAAAAAATAGTCAAGTTATAACTGCCTTAGTTAAAAAATATTTCCAAGTTAGAACAAGTTTTAGCCAGACATTGGCATCAGCAGATTTTTTTGAAACCTCTCTGCGTGTTTTTTTGTTTGGGAGGTTTTTTGTCTAGCTTGACAGATCTCAGCAGCTCTGTTTGGAGGTTGTTGGGCATTGCTTATCAAACTTTTTAGAAGTGTATTTGTATTCATCTACCTTCAAACATTTTCTCTTCCCTACCTTTGCTTGGCAGCAGTTCAGTTTTTCCACTTGTTTAAAAAAAAAAGTCTTTACTCTCCGCCTCTGTCCCAGAGCAGTAAGCAGCACGGATGCCTGTTTTTCTGATGTTTTTGAAGCCCATGAGATCCCCAGCTCAAAATCCGAGAAGCGTGGGCTAAGCAATGCTGACTAGCTTTTAACGTAAAATAGCCTTGAGGGAAAGAAAGAAACCCGCAGAATGACGAGATTCCAGATAATACTGAGATACCGTTTCTGAATGTTCCTGTTGTGTCCCTAGCATCGCAGCAAGATAAACATACCATAATACTTTACAAAATTATTAGTTAAAAAAAGCCCCCAGAAGCATGAATCCAGGTCAACAACTCGCTAAGCCCTCAGAGACATACGTTCCCGGCTAGTAACGGGCTCGACGGAAACAGCGCTGGTTTTTCTAGGCATATACAAAAATAAGTCAGTATTTATTGGACCTATTTATTGGTGATCAGAGGAAATAACTTCATAGAAGTCACAAATAACCACATCGCGTACAACAGCGCTTTTATGCCGCGATTGCTTGGTAACTTTGTGGCAGGAGAAAATGCAAAGAAACTACCCAGGTCCATTTTCACCTTTAAATCGTAATATATGGGGGTATATGGAAAACGAGTGCCATGTACTTCTTAAAGTAAGGCGAGTAATCCAGACCAGCGTGTTTGGCAAATCACTGCTCAGATCAAGCTCTGTCGAGGAGAAGCTGGGTCAGGAAACGCAGCATCAGCTCAGAAACTTTGCTGAGTCTGAACAGAGACAATGAGATGTCTCCCATCTGTTTCCAAGAACTATTTCTAAAGCCTTAAGGGCTGTAGCTCATTTTTCCACGGGAGTGATGAAAAACCTCTCTCAGAATCACAACGTTGTCTTCCTTTGTCTCTCTCTCATGCTGACCTAGATTTTTCTAAACACAACAGAGGTCAACTGGGCCAGCCTTTGGAAATACCCGAGCGCCGGTTCATTAAGGACGTTTAATTTGCCCTGGGGCTGGGCAGCTGGTTTCCTGAATGGCAACGGAGCCCAGTTAAAGCCGGGGGAACGGCCTCGCTGACCGTTGCCCTAGAGTCCGCGGTTAAGTTTGACCACTATAGGCAAGGTCTTTGAAGTCCTGCAGTCTGCTGCTTGTGGGCATTCTGGCACCATCTCTGGGGTGGGGGGCAGAAATTGCAGACCTTCCACAGAAATACAGTAGATGTTAGAGGAACATGGTGTGGAAAGCAACTGTGAGCTCACCGATTTTAAGGTTTCCAGGCAAACGACCTTTGCAAAGAAAAAAGTAACTGATGCAATAGTGTTTCCATGAATGAGAGAATCCGAATTATATGTTCCTTCTGTATTTATATCTCGTGTTGGAGTAAAGAGAGGGGAGCATCAATTCAATTTTTTAATTACAGTACTGTTGCATATGAGCCCTCGTTAATGAGGCTGTCGGTCTCACTGCACTATTTACAAGGCTACGCGGTTTAAAAAATCCTTTGCTTTTTCGCTGGTTAATTACAAGCTTGTACATTTTTATTCCCCTGCCACCCAGCAGGTGATCTCCACATACAAAATAAAGAGATATTTCCGGAGGTTTTTTTGAATGGCTCCACTCATTTGAGGACTTAATGAAAACTTTTGGCATGCGGCCAACAGGCTCTACGTTCCGTCTGTCTTGCCAGCAACGTGTTTATCCTGACCGGTGCCTGTATGCACGGCCTGCATGAACAGCTCAAGAAACCGTCACGGTTTGTTGAAAGCAAAAGAAACAAAAAAAACCCTCAACGCTTCCTTTAGTATTGCTCCTCGGAGGAGAAGCAGTAACACGGCACAATCCACGTACTGTACTAGACCTCACAAGGCCCCCGCAACCCCAAACATATCTACAGCACGTGCACGGCTGGGAAGGAGGAGGGGAGAGGAGGAAAGAGAGGTATAAGGAACGCCGTTGTGTCAGTTATCAGCATTTTCCGAGAGTGTTCTCTCAGAGAAAAAACTCTTAGGTGCCCCTGGAGGGAACAGACAGGGAGACCAATTTACCGGGTTATAAACCACACAAGTTAAAATGTCCTTCTAAAGACACTCGAGACTTCTTATGAAAAGAAAAAACCAGGTGCGAACAACACCCTTCTCCACAAATTTCAGAAGTGTGAGAAGGAGGGAGGGAGGAAAGAGAGGTATAAGGAACGCCGTTGTGTCAGTTATCAGCATTTTCCGAGAGTGTTCTCTTCCGAGAGTGTTCTCTCAGAGAAAAAACTCTTAAAAAAAAAAAAAAAAAAAAAAAAAAAAAAAAATAAGGCAAATAAGAGTACCTGCATTTAGAAGAGCTTTCGGCCAACATTAGCAGCACAGCTGAACCCCCTCACCAACATACCCTCATACCCTTCCTCCCTAGGAGTGGGGCAAGCCCCTCATATCCTTTCTGTGGATGCACTCAGGTGTGGTTGACCTGGCTCTGCCCCTTAAGGACTCTTCCTTTCTTCCTTAGAAGTCCTTAAGGACTCTTCCCTTCTTCCAAGAGATAAGCTGTATGGGCTTAGGGACCTGTTGTTAGCTATGTTCGTTATTGAATTACTTCAAAACATTCACATTTGAGTAGAATGTTTTCCAACCACAGCCACCATTTTTTGCTGCAGCTTTATTTAAAATAAATGAATAAATGAAGTGCTTTTGAACAATGGGAAACTCATCAGCTCAGGAGGGCACGACATTCAGAAGGATTCCCCCTCCATTGGGATGTAGCAAAAAGTTGGGAGCACGTGAAAGCAAGTGTTTGTAATAGAAAGAAACTCTGCAGACTTCAATATCCTATACACGGCAGACCGCGTACAGGTAAACAAACAGCAAAGAAGGTGGCAGGAGAACCAACGCCATCAAATAAATGACTGGCAGGAATTACAGCCCGTCCCCCGAGTCTTGCAGTTTCCTTTTCCGATCGCTAAACCACACGCCTAGGTCTGGATCTAGCAAAAGTTTGATATAGGATCTCAAACGCACTCACTGCATTTTGGGATAGGAAGGAGGAACACACGTTGGGATGGGAAGGAGGAACACATGTTTCCAAGTCTTCCAAAAGTAGTAGGCTAGATGGCAAGGTGCTAGTTGTGAGGACACGCCACCTGCACGGGGAAATGAACTTCCGATGCTGCGTAAACACGTACTGGCAGAGCTTTAGATGTTAATCCAGAGCTAACAGGACCTGGCTGAAGAAATTAAGGAATCAAATGTGGGAAGAGATTTTGTTTCAATTAAAGATACGCCTGGTTTGCATCAGTCCTTGGAAGAAGTTGTGATGTGTCCCCGACAAACCTTGTATTCGTAGGACTGCTCCCAAAGCTAAGTAGCTTAGCTCTAGCGGAATTACCTGGGTGCAAGCATCCTCTTCCACTAGAGACACAAACACGCATTTTAGCGGGTGGTCTGCTGCACCCTGAAATTGAAGGACTGGTTTACCAAAGTTCACGGTATTTGTGACGAGTATCTCTAAGATCCGATTCACCAGATATCATGGACTTCATTCACCCACCCAAGCCGGGCCCAGGATACCTCTGCACCCAGACTCTACGCGTTGCCCAGGAACACAGCCAGGTACGAGCAAGGCAGCGTTTGCGCCTGGCCCCGTACGTGAAACAGAAGCTCTTTCCAAGCCAGTAAGGAGAGACGCTTACCCGGCCACGCTGGTGAGGAGTCTGGCAGTCTCCCATCCTACTCCGCAGGGCAGGAGCAGCAGTCCTGCCCAGCTGCGCTCACCTCCCTGGCAGCCCAGAGCTCCCCGTGCACGAATGACGTGGATTTCGTGTCAACGTCAATGACAGAGAAAGGAAAAAAAAAAAAATGAACTTGAATTTTTAATGCAAGGCTGCTATCAGTACCAAATGAGAGAATGACGAAT